TCTCGGTTCCCTCTGAGCGTCAGTTTCCTTATCGGCTTAAACAGGGGACTGGGACTCTGAGTTCTTAGTCGCCATCCCCCGCAAAACAACGTTTTAAAGACCGTCTTTATTGGTAGCGTGGAACTCCCCCCACTGCATCTGGGGACGTTTTCTGGAGAATGCAGAAGCCGGGTGGCGCGGCACAGGATACTGCGGAGTCCCCAGCACCGAGACGGGTCTCCCTCATCTGTTCTTCCGCCTCTTCAGGGTGAGTCCGGTACCTGGAGGCACCCCACAAAAGAAATCGGTTGAAATGACTAAATTCGCTCTTTGGCCACCCTGGGCGGCGAGATAAGGGTTTCTGGAATTTATTCTCTGCGCCTTTTTCGGCAGGCGGCACGCTTCGGTTCCCAGCGCTGTCCAGAGAAGAGCCGCCCCGGTTGGCCAGTCACTGTTAGAGGGGGATGCTCCGACCTGTGTCCCTCGGAACCCGAGGCCCGCGCGCCCCCGACCCGGACAGCGCCCTGCGCTACGGACTGCGGCGGCGTGGGACGCACCCGGAGCGCGCAGGCCAGCACCTCTTGCCCGACCCGTGTCTTCCTCTGGCCAAAGACAAACGCGAACAAAGCCGGTACACGTTACACTCACAACCTGCGCTAAATAACTGTCCAAGCTCTCGGTCTTCTCACCTCCCGGTCAAGGCCACAGTCAGGTTTGTTAGGAAAGTCAATCCCATGGTGAGGTGCTTTTCGGGGCCTCCAGCCACTGGCCGCGGAGAACTCCCGTAACGGAAAATGCCAGGTTTGGGCAGTTTCACGAATTTTCTTCTTTCTCTACTTTCAAGCTGGATTCTCCTCCCAAGCAGAGGGTAAAGTCCACGCAGAAGAGACTTGTCCACCCTCCTCCCCCGCCCCCGTCTCTCCCTGCCTCTCAAGTTCTCTTTCCGATTGAAAGCACTCTCATCTAGTCAAGAGGGTCGAGAAGGAAACCAAGAGAGGGTCCACTCTTCCCCCAGGGATTTCGTCTGTAGATTTCCATCATAGTAACCGACTGCCGAAAGTCTGACACTCCTGTCATTCTGCTGCGTCTTATGCTGTTTGTCTTCCAAACGTTAAAATTATTCATTCTTCTCTTTTACAAATAGATAGTCCATTAATTGTGATAGGTTAAGCTATGTATACTTAAAAATACTTAAACCTGGCTTCAAAAATAATTTAAAACTACCTCTGAGACTACAAAGAAGTTAATTTCGAGTCTTCCTGTAAACATTTTTAGAATTGTTCTTGTCTCTATAATCTTGGAATGTTCCTGGAGGATCTTTACCCTTCAAAAATACAAATATTATTTTTAACATTAAAGCCAAGTCAGCTAATCACATACGTTTTTCTAAATAGACTCTGGTGTCCAAAGAAATGTCATAGTCTCTACCATATTTTGTTTGAGAAAAAGTAGAGTATATATTCTAAGTTGCTCTAAAATTATGTCTGTAAATAAAATATGTTAGCAAAAAAAGTTAGTCAAAGTGAAAAATAAAAATAAAAAAGTAGGGGTGGTGTCTATTGTATTGTCTCACATTTCTCCTGAAAATTTGAAAAGAACCATATGGTTTAGAAGAATATATTCCCCCACCCCAATTCTGTTAAATGATTGATTATAAAGCTTTTACCTAATATTAAAAAGCTTTAATTTTATTAAATCGTTTATCATATTCTTATTTTATTCTCTGAAATAAAATGCATTTAAACGGTATTTCGGTTATTGTTTGTTACTATCCTTGAATTTTTTTCCTGCATTCGTATTTTTATTGGTTGACAACACTTGAGTGTCACAGCTGGCTCTTCCTTGATTACTATTTTGATTTAGTAAAAGCCCATTAATTCAAAAGCAAAGGAAGAAGACTTTGCATTTGCTAGGCTTAGATTAAAGTTGGTAAATTAGTGTAACTACATTTACATCCTATTGGCCAGGAAACAGCTATCAGGATCTCTGAAATAAGTATCACTTTGATCTCACCACAAGTGTATGCACAGACCTGGGCTTCCACTCGCAAGAGATTCCGGTTCTATCAGGTGTTGATGTAAAAAACTTTCTTCGGTCAATGTCAAGACATGAAATATTCATAGCTTGTAATTATAACACAAACCGATTTTTACAAGAGGAACCTTTGGAACTGAGCGGTGCTTTCGTTCGTTCCTTTTTTTGTTTTTTGTTTTTGTTTGTTTTGTTTTTTTAAAGAAAACTCCAGTCCAGCTTCCCTTTGCCAGGTTGTTCACACAAACAGCTACTAGTGGCCGAAACCCGACCATTGGTACGCACTTTGTCGCTTTAAAGGAAGTAGGTAGAAAGAAAGCAGAGTGGATGAAAATATTTGTTTGCATTTTTGTTTTGTTTTGTTTCGTTTCGTTTTTGACTGAGTACACCATAGTGTTAAAAAAAATACACAACAGCTTCTTTTGTGATATCAGGAATAGTCTCACAATTTCAGGAACAAATCAGCTTCCTGTGCGGAAAGTCCACCTTTAGTCCGTATCAATATCAATGGGCCAAAACCAGCCCAAACTGGCCGCTAAAGGTGGAGAGAAAACTGCCGGCTTCTGCAAAGGGGAAACGCAGCAGTTTAGAATTTCGCCGATGAAGAATATTTACAGGATGTTGTTCACATCCTCTGAAAAATCGCTTTGTTTTAAGGTGTGCGTGCGCGCGCCCAGGTGGCCTGAGGACGATTGCTAGTTACTCGCACGCAAGGACTTTAGTAAATTTCAGGTGCGGGTTAATTGCTGAGCGTTCCCGGCGAGGATTGGGATTCAAAAGGCGCAGGGCTGGCGGGTCCTCGCCGCCGGCCGGGTCTTCACGGTCGCGCAGCCCAGCCCTCCCGGACCCCGGGCGGAAGGACGCAGGAGGCTGCGGGGCCTCGGGATGCTGGCGGTGAGTGACTCCGGGAGCGCCCGGGCCCGCGTTCAGTCCCGGCCTCGTCTCCGCGCTTCCGGGGTGCGCCCCATCGGGCTGGGGTTGCAGAAACCCGGCACCAGCTAACGCCCCGGGAAACCAGCTGGACGCGGGGGAAATGGCCTGTCGGGGGCCCCTGGAACGTTTCAATCTCCTTAGGTTTGCCTGGGAGTTTATTGGGGGCTTTCCGTGAGGCATCCAGGCAGGATAGAAGCCTCTGGTCCCTGGCTCGGAGAAGGGAGGCTGGGGGATTAATGGTTGGAAGGCAATGAGATGGTTCTTCTCCATTTGCCCTGGATGGTTTCCCAGCCCATTTCCCCTGTTGCTGCGTAGACCGTGCAGTCCATTCACCCACGTGGACCCCAGACCTTTCGTCCCAAGCGCTGGGGCTTTCGGCTCCCCGAACTGTGGATAAAGGGCCCCGGACGTGGGGGTGGATTGGTACCGCCAGCGCTCCTACTTCTCGACACTCGTTTAACCGAACACACTGCTGGTGACAAAAATAAACAAGTCCGGATTTGGGACGTTGAATTCACCCAATTTTTCATATCTAGAAATAATGACGCTAATATTGAAAGAACGCTGACGTCCAAGGAGTTTGGTCAAGTCTGTGTAGAAGTGGGACTGTGCGCCCAACCTAGATCTTATTATCATTATTTTTTAAAAAATAAAACTCTTCGGGAGCGTCTGGGCGGCTCAGTTGGTTAAGATCAGTTGGTTAAGACTGTGATCTCTCTCACAGTCCGTGGGTTTGGGCCCCGCGTCGGGCTCTGTGCTGGCAACTCAGAGCCTGGAGCCTGCTTCAGATTCGGTGTCTCCCTCTCTCTCTGACCCTCCCCTGCTCGTGCTCTGGTCCCTGTCTCAAAAATAAACGTTACAAAAATTAACTAAAAAACCTCTAGAAGATACTGAAAGTATGTTTTTTGTGTATTGTACTTCTAATTGTTGGGCTGAGGTGAGCCAATGAGCTGCTGTTCTGTAATGTAGCAGGGATTGGCCTTGAAGAAAAGGTGTAACAATCCTCTACGTTTTGTGAATTCTCTCCTGGTGGTGGTTGATATTTGATCCTTGAAGTTGCGGTACAAGTCCTGGAGGAAGACTTAAAATTCGTTAAGTCAGAAACCTAAAGCTTAAGCTCCTGACTAGGTTTCAAATCTACTTTCCAAACCTTTATTTTGCCAACTCTCAATAGTTCATTAATCCAAAGCCTTCTGTTTCCTCGTTGTCAGTATAATTTGCCTATTTTGTGTGACTGTTTATTCCAATGACGTTTGCTTTGTTTTTTGTGATAGTCTATATTTGTTACAGACTGTACTAAAGAAGGTTGGATAGATTATTTTTAAGTAGTAGTTTACTGGGGCGCCAGGGTGGCTCAGTCAGTTAAGCGTCCGACTTTGACTCCGGTTATGATCTCACAGTTGGTGGGTTTGAGTCCCAGATCGGGCTCTGTGCTGACTGCCAACTCAGAGCCTGGAACCTGTTTTGGATTCTGGATCTCCCTCTCTCCGACCCTCCCCTACTCACGCTGTCTGTCTGTCTCTCTCTCAGAAATAATTTTTTTAATGTTTGTTTTTAATTTATTTAAGTAGTAAATTACCTAGAATTACTTGTGCTTACCACATGCTCTCCTTAATGCCCATCATCCATTTTCCCATCCCCCCACTCCTCTCCCCTCCAGCAACTCTCCATTTGTTCTTAAGGAGACTCTCTTATGGAGGTTTCTGGGTGGGTGGCTCAGTCAGTTAAGCTGCCAGCAGGGGACTTGGGCTCAGGTCAAGATCTCCTAAGTTCAAGCCCCAAGTCAGGCTCTGTGGAGCCTGCTTCAGATTCGGTGTCTGTCTCTCTCTCTCTGCCCCTTCCCCACTCTGTCTCTCTCTCGAAAAATAAAATTTAAAAATTAAAGCATCTTTTATGGAAACTTGCAAATGGATTCTTTGAAACCTTTTTCTAAACAATCTTTTTATTGTACACAGGAAGAGGACGATACTTTCCAGTCCGTTAAGGAAGAAGATGAGAGCGGAATTGCCCTGGATGCTTTTTATGTAAAGATCAAACTAACTTCTGAGGGTGCGGGAGGGTGCGCATGCGCCTTCTTTTTAGTTCTGTGTTTGCGGGGCTGTCAGCACAATGGGTTTCTCCAGTCCTCCAGCCAGAGGCAGAGAAACCTTGCTCCTTCTCCTTCCCTAATCTTTCACAGTTTATCGCCATGCTTTCGATTATCCTACTAATATTAGTCTAGTCTATCTTGGGCCGGGTACTAGTCTAGGTAGACAGTACTGAACAAAACAAACAGTTTGTGCCTGCAGGGAGCGTACACCCTGGCAGAAAGCCACAGAAACAGGTTACCAACCAAAGGGGAGGAGTAGGAAGGAAAGGAAGAGAGTACCTGCATGGAGAATTGCGAGTGGAGAGAGGCACTTGTCTTACTTGAAATAAAGTCCCAGAAGACAAGACTAAAAAGGTGATCTGGAAGCTGAGATCAGAGGATGACAAGGAGTCAGCCACTTTCTACCTGATCTCTGCCTCCAGAGAGGGAGGGAGGCAAACCATGAGAGACTCTTGAATGCTGAGAACAAACTGAGGGCTGTGTGTGTGGGGGGGTGATGGGCATGGAGGAGGGCACTTGTGGGGATGAGCACTGGGTATTATATAAACCAACCTGTCAATAAACTATAAAAAAGATAACTTGGGGAAAAAACAAAAGTGGTGGGGGAAGCAGTCGAGGGTTCTTATGCAAAGGCCCTGAGGCAAAGCACAATTTTCTTTTTTGAGGACTTCTTAGTACAGGAGTCAGGCAGAAGTTGACAGTTTAAAAAAAAAAAAAAAGATCAAATCCTGCAGAACCCTGCAGATCAAGACAAAGGGTTTGGATTTATTTTGGGCACAGGGCAGCCAGGTGGAGTTTTAAGTAGATCTAAGCTTCTGAGTCAGGGAATCTGACTGTAAATCTCAGCTGAGTCATCTCATGCAAGTTCTTAATCTTTCCCAGCCTTGCTGCTACCCCCAGATAAGGAATCTGTCCTCTTCAAAGGGTGGTAAGGATTAAATGAGCACATCTGGAGAACACTCAACACAGCTGGCACAAAAAAGCTCCCTTAAAAATGTGCTAACTTAAAAACAAATTGTTTACATGTTTAATTTCGAATGCCACCTTTCTACTTAAGTCAGTAGTGAAAATAAGTGGAATTTGGGAGCGTATGCACTAAAGTGCTTCCTTATTGAAATAATGTATGTTGGTGATTTAGTGTGTAGGATTGGACTGAACTAAAAATGAAAAAATCCTATCTTTATAGTACAGATATTTAAGGAAATGTCTCTTCAAATATGTATTTAAATGTATATCTTCCTAATGTTCAGGCAGAAGAAGAATTGCATTTATTATGACAAGTTGCATCCTCAGTTAACTTCCATCTGTAGTTGTTGAATTCATTTTCTTGTATTCTGATCATCTATGATGCTGTTAATAGGTTTGAATTTCCTAGTGTTTTAGAATTTAACCTGACTGAGGATAAAGTTTCTTCTCCCACAGAAACCTGTACTTAAGTATAATTGTCCTTAAGTCAGTGGCTCTCAAAGTTAGCATGCATGATGGCCTCCACCTTAGACTTTCTGATTACTAGTAAGTGCCAAGGTGAAGTCCATGTTGCTGGTGGTCCAGGAACTACATTGCAAACTACTATCTTAAACCAACAAACTCCACCATTGGCTAAATGATTATTTACTGTTCAAGGTATAGCTATCTATATTTACTGTAATTTCCACACTGAATTACTATTGATAATGATAAAAATAGTGCTATGAAATGTTCTTTGGGGGGGAAATAATTTGCAAACCATCACCTTTCCAGCTTCAATCACTTATTATTGATGCCTTCCATGATAAAGGATTTCAGAGAATAAAAGAATATTTTCAAGAGAGAGCAAGCCATAGTCCTCAACAGTATAATCATCTTGTATTCTACCATCTTGATAGATCAATAAGTAAGGCAAGTAAGTTGTATTGTTTCGTGGGTAGAATAACAATGTGTAATTATTTGTAAGGCTTTGCCACCCCCCCATTGAGCTATAATTGACACATTACTGTAAGTCCAAGGTATATGGTATAATTATTTGACTTGCATGTATTATGAAATGATTACCACAGTAAGTTTAGATAGCATCTATCATTTCCTACAGATAGAAAATAAAAGAATTTCCTTGTCATAAGGGGCACCTGGCTGGCTCAGAAAAGGAAGGGGTTGTGAGTTCTAGCCCCACTTTGGGTGTAGAGAACTTAAATAAAATTCAAAAACCTTGTGATGAGAACTCTTAGGATCTACTCCCTTAACTTTCATTGTAAGGCTTTATCTTCATGTGGTCTAACACCCAGGAACTGGATAAAAATGAATTTCAGAATGTTTCACTGTTGTTGAAATGTATTCAGCGATTCTTCATCGATGGCATCAAGGAAGATGAGCCTTTGCTAATTCAGCAGGGACTGATCCCAAAGATAAGTGTCTCTTAATTTTGTATGGCTTTGGGTAATCTACACTGGCTTGAAATCTGTTACCTAGCTGGGTATTTTCTGTGCCTTTGAAAGCAGATTTGAAAAGAAATGGATAATGATGCATACTGCCTATTTCCATCAAAAACAAGGTTCTGTATAGGTTTCCTGATGTATGTGCTGCGCAGGGCACTTTGGGAATATGTGGGAAGGAGTCATCCCCTCTCCCTTTGACAAGTCAGTGCTGTAATAGCATGTGTAAATTGTCTTGGTGAATTTAACTTGGGAATATAGGATGAGTAGGGAGTAAGCTATTCTACACTCCCCACCCCTCACCAAAGGATCTATAACTATTTTAATAGACCTTAGTAACAACATTGGACCTGGATAAAGGATCAAATACTTCCCCTTGCCACAGCCCACTTTTCCAACTTCAAAAATCCATTGAATCTGAAAACACAAAGACAAAACACACTTTTTGTTCGTTCTAAGTCATGCAGTTGTAAAATTGTATCCTGGATTTTAGCAGTTAACCAGCGGGTACTATGAGTGCCTTATGTTGCTGGAAGCAACACAGACTAGGAAATCTCTTGGCGCCCCTCTCTTTTATAAGATGAGATTCTGCAGCCCTTTGATGCCCGATTTATTGGTGAGGAGATAGGGAAGGTAGAGAGGCAAGAAGGTGATCTGGCTGGCTCTAAAAACTTTATTTTTTTTCCCCTTCAACCCCCTGGACTCTAGTACCTGAAGTTTATTAAAACCAGACTGACTCAGGGAGATCACTCTGTGCTTCTCTATTGTATTTTATTTTAATTTTTACTGTAAATTCCTCTGTGTGGGGAGGAATAAAGATCTCTTTGGGGGAGACTGAGCAAAGACTAGGCTTTCCCTAACTCTTCTCAGGGACTTGAAAAGAGTTTGCAGGGCGGGGGTAGATCTAAGGATTATGATCTGGCAAATTGTATACATTTCATTTTGCATGTAGTGCCACCTAACTCCCTCCTACACTTGCTAGTGCAGATGCCAGGAAATTGGAAGGAGGAGGTAAAACTTGAAAGGAAATGGACCAGGAAGTCCCAGGGGGGTAACTTTGAACTATGGGCTGATGTCCTAAGGGGGATAAATTAGGATCTACCCCAACCTGAATTTCCTATTTAGGTTTTAAAATACCCTTCCAAGATTTAAAGAGTCTGATCCAATAAGTCTCCACTGGAGTTTTGGAATCAGATAGAAACTTCCATATTCTATTGGAATTCCAGTTGGTGATGGACACTTCAGAACCATAATGTAGACACCTTCTACAGCGTGTTCTGTCTCATGTAGGCTGTGGTCAAGGAAAATCGATATTATCAAAGGGGTTAGAAAACTGGATTCTGTACTTCTAAAGCCAATTACGTTTGCAGGGCAGCACAAAATATACTAGAAGTTATTTCTCTAGAAAAAGAATTTCCTATGGAAAGGAATGTGCTTTGTCCTGTACCCTAAGATCCTGGAGGATTAAGTAACTTGTTTTATACCATCTTTATAATGAATAGTAGCTATTACATCTGTAAATCACTCTTTTGTCTCATTTCTGGTAATCCCACCGCTGTGGGGGCTGTGAATCTGTTAGACCATGTAGTATCGTGGCACATAATAGGTCCAGGGAGGGACCTTCTAGTCACAAGTCTTGATCAAATACCAGGGTGTTGCCCCCCCCCCCCCATCTCTGTAGCTATCCTCCATATATTTTGTGGGCTGGGAGGGGACAGGATTCGGGTTGGTAAATGGAATGGTGACAAAAATGTACTTAAGAGCATAAAATTCTGCTTCTGAATATTGGAAGGGGGGAAATAGGCATTATGGCGAATTTCATTGTATAAAGGGACGTTTCTTAGGCTGTCGGAGAAGAGTTTGCCCCAGAAGGTGGATCACTGAGTCTAATGCAGATCTTTGCCTGATGGGAGATGAAGGGAGCATTGCTGGGAACGTAGCGGTGGCTCTCCAACCTTGCTGTAGGTTAGAATCCTCTGGAAAGCCTTAACAAGCACTGTTTGTGTCCCACCTGCCAGCGATTCTGACTTCCTGGGTCTGTGAGGGGTCCCAGGTGTCAGGGTGTTTCAAAGCTCCCCAGGTTTTCCTAATGTGCAGCCAAGGTTGAGACCTGATTGGTTTGTACGTGGTCCCCAGCTGGGGGTGCTTTGGGTTCTTGGCTGCAAAGTGGACCAAGTTTCTGAGGCCTTCCTCCTGTACGCGTTTTTCATCAGACTCTTCTTCCACGTTCAATTGAAGATGTCAAATTATGCCTGCAGGACATTTTTTTTTTCTCTTTTTCTAAGTGGGGAGGAAAAAAGTCCACAGATAGCCTTCACTTTTTTGAATAAATGTTATAGGAGTTTATTTTAAACCCTACCAATCCTGGCAACTTGGATCTATGTTTCTATAGAAAAAAACAAACCCCTAATTGGCTGGAAGCTTTGACAAAAGAAAGGCTTGAGGCATATTTACTGTATTAACCTACTTCCAGAGCAGTTTCCAAATTCTGCATCTCCTTTGATATTCTGTTTTTTTTGTTTTGTTTTGTTTTGTTTTGTTTTTATAGCTGATACAAGAGTTGCTCCTGTGTTGGGGAGGCTCATTTATCTCCTTTAAAAAATTTTTTTTATTTGAAAAATATTATAAGGCTCAATTTATCTCTCCATCTTTAATCGCTAGCCCCTGTATAGGACTTTCTGGTATCAATCTTGGCCAAATCTCCAAATTTTGCTGGTATCCAAGAGCTTCTTAGTATAACTCTGTAACAGAAGATCTTCATTCTGGAGCATTCTAGATGCAGAACCTCGAGCCAGGTCGAATTGAAATGTTCTAGAAAAGTCTTAAACTATTTTGCTCTAGTTTTGCTAGAATTACAAAACTACTGAATAGCCACTGAAGTTTGACTTCTAGAAGGTTGCAACCGTGTTTCTTCTCTTGTGTACATGGTTTCCTGGTTTGAAAGAACAACAGAATTTCTGACCATGGCAAATCCAGTGTCTGACCCATCCCTGATTAACGTTACAGAAGACTTCTTTGACACAGCCTTGGTAAGGATGGGGGTGGATGTATTACTGAACAGACATCATTGGTAATTTGTAGGAATCAAGTTATTTATAAACTCTGTGTAGGTTTTACTAAGACTCCTATTTTATTAAAATGAAATCAAAACTGTAACCAATGCTATAGAAAAAATTGATTTTCATACATGCATTATTCACCTGTTTAAGGGTGATAATGCTGATTTCAATAGTGCTTGAAGGTCAAATAGGATTTCTCTAAACTTATTTTAAGTTTATTTTGAGAGAGAGCGTGCGCGTGTGCCCGCACACAAGCAGGGGAAGGGCAGAGAGGGAGGGAGAGACTGAGAATCTCAAGCAGGCTCTGTACAGAGCCCCATGTTGGGCTCCATCTCCAGAACTGTGAGATCGTTACCTGAGCTGAAATCAAGAGTTGGATACTTAATCGACTGAACCACCTCCTAAACTTCTTTCTACTGTATTTAAAGTCAACTTTTCCTGTTAGAGAAATATCAGCATTAATGAAGTAATGTTATAGTTGAGAATGCTTTTTTAAAGATAATATAAACTTTTTCTTTTTACTAGGTTATTTCAAGGAGGAGTAGTAAAGGTAAGTATGTTATTTACCACTAACTGACAATTTTCATTAGTAGAATATTCTGGTATTCAGTAAGTAAATATTTGCCTAAATGACCTACAAGTACAACAGGTTTAAGTACTTGGATTATTGACTGCCTAATGGTAGCTGTACAGCAATGCAGAGATTTTGTTGTAAAGTAGGTCTGTTTGCCTTTTGTTTTAAATATTTATTTTAACATCTATTTTTAATATAAATATAGCTGACATAATTTCAGGTGAACAGCATAGTGACTTGACAATCGCGTACATTACATCACTCTGTGTGACGTGTGTCGCTGCTCTGGTGTCATACAACATTATGATATTATTGAGGATGTACTCTAGACTGAGAAGGTATTCTAAGACCAAAACAAAAATGAAAACAAACTCCAAAAACCCAAAGCAAACCACTCCACACTGTTCAGAGTTTTATTCAGGGTAACTTACTGGGGGGACTGGGCAGACAAAGGATCCCCGAGGTATGTGGCTATTGTCTGCCAAGTCCAGATCTTCACCCCCAAATCTTATAGGGTGAGGGGCATGGTGGTGTGGTCACAGGGTGCTTATCTGAAGTGGTGCCCTCTGTGCGTGAGAGGATACACACTAGTAATCTGAAGTGGGGGCCTTCTGTGTGCTCTTCAGGGAAGGTCAGAGCAAGACTTCCTAGGTTCTGGGCATACATTAACCTCCTCAGGGCATGCAGCATGTAGTCCCGAGGGAGGTCAAGTGCAGATGTGGACAAGACCAAGGCCAGAGACGGAGTTAGTGTTGTCAGCACTCTTACAGCTGTGCTTGTGACTCTGACTTGACCTGGGAGTTTGTAACTCTCCATCCCCATTATAGATTTTGTCTGCCTTCCCTACTCCCCACCCCTCTGGCAACCACCAGTTTATTCTTTGTACTTATGAGTCTGTCTGTTGTTGCTGTTGTTTTTTTGATTGTTTGTTTTTTTGATTCCTGCTGTTTGTTTTTGTTTTTAGATTCCATATAGAAGTGAAATCCTACAGTACGTTCTGATTTATTTCACTTAGCATAATCTGCTCTAGATCCATCCATGTTGTTGTAAATGGCAAGTTTTCCTTTTTATGAGTACCATTCCATAGCATTATACCATATCCTCTTTATCCATTCATCTACTGAAGGACACTTGAGTTGCTTCCAGATCTCGGCTTTTATAAATAATCCTGCTATAAACATATGGGTGCATATATCTTTTTACATTAGTGTTCTCATTTTTTTTTTTTTTTTGAGTAAAGACTTAGTAGTGAGGTTACAGAAACATACGGTATTTCCATTTTTAGGTTTTTTTTGTTTTGTGTGGTGGTTTGTGTGGTGGTTTGTGTGGTGGTTTGTGTGGTGGTTTGTGTGGTGGTTTGTGTGGTGGTTTGTGTGGTGGTTTGTGTGGTGGTTTGTGTGGTGGTTTGTGTGGTGGTTTGTGTGGTGGTTTGTGTGGTGGTTTGTGTGGTGGTTTGTGTGGTTTTTTTTTTTTTTTGGTGGAACCTTCATATGGTTTTCCACAGTGGCCGCACCAATTTACATTTTCACCAATAGTGCACAAGGGTTCTTTCTCTCCACATCCCCAGGAGCATCCACGTTGTATTTTCTCACCTCCTTGGTTGTAGGTTGACTAGATACGCCTGGGTTTATCCCCGGGCTTTCTGTTCTGTTCCATTGCTCTGTGTATCTATTCTTTGTGCTAGTACCACACGGCTTTGATGACTGTAGCTTTGTGATCTAGTTTGAAATCTGGAAGCGTGATGCCTCCATCTTCTTCTTTCTCAAGATCGTCTTGTCTATTTGGGGTCTTTTTTGGTCCCATACAAATTTTAAGACTAATTTTTTCTAGTTCTGTGAAAAATACTATTGGTATTTTGATAGGAATTGCATTGAAGTTTTAAATCACTTTGCATAGTATGGACATCTTAACGATATTTTTCCCAATTATATCTTTCCACTTATTTGTGTCTTCAGTTTTTTTCACTTATGTCTCTTCTTTCAGAGTACAGGTCTATCACCTCCTTGGTTAAATTTATTCCTAGGTATTTTAAAAATGAAATTATAAATAGGATTGTTTTCTTAATCTGTCTTTTCTGCTAGTTCATTATTAGTGTATAGGAACAGATTTCTATATATTGACTTCTTTTAGCCTGAAAATTTACAAATTTTTCTCTAATAGGCTTTCTGATTTTTCAGCTTCTTTCTGCCTTTTATTAAAGTAATTCCAGTATAGTTAACATACAGTGAGTGTGAAATCTATTTCAATAGATTAGTAGAATATAGTGATTAATAATTTTATACATAATGTTCATCATAAGTGTACTCTTAATCTCATTCACTTATTTCACCCATCCCCCCACCCACCTCCACTCTGCTAACAATCTCTTCTCTATAGTTACCAGTTCATTATTTGGTTTGTCTTCCTGACCACCCCCCTCACCCCCTTATTAAGTTCCACATATGAGTGAGGTCATCTGGTATTTCTTTCTCTGACTTATTCTGCTTAGTATTACACTCTATAGATCCATCGATGTTGTTGCAAATGGGAAGATTTCTTTCTTATGGCTGACTAATATTCCCTTGTATATATATCCATTCATCTATTGATGGACACTTGGGCTATTTCTATTAAGTGGTTTTGTAAATAATGCTACTGTAAACATCGGGGTGTATATATCCTTTCAAATTAGTGTGTGTGTGTGTGTGTTCTTTGGGTAAATACCTAGTAGTGTGACTACTGGATTATTGGGTAGTTCTATTTTTAATTTTTTGAGGAATCTCCATACTCTGTTCCACAGTGGCTATACCAGTCCATATTTCCACCAATAGGGCAAGAAGGCTCTTTTTCTCCATATCCTTACGAACCTTGTTTCTTGTGTTTTCGAGTTTAGCCATTCTGACAGGTGTGAGGTGATAGCATATTACGGTGTTGATTTGCATTTCCCTATTGTGTGATGTTGAGCATCTTTTCATGTGTCGATTGGCCATCTGTATGTTGTCTTAGGAATGTGTTCATGTCTTCCTACTTCCTTACTGAATTATTTCTTTGGTGTTTAAGTTCTCTATATATTTTAGACACTAAGCCTTTCTTGGGGATAGGTCATTTGCAAGTATCTTCTCCCAGTCAGTAGGCTGCCCTTTAGTTTCATTGGTTGTTTCCTTCACTGTACAGAACCTTCTTATTTTGATGAAGTCCCAGCAGTTTATTTTTGCTTTTGTTTCCCTTGCCTTGGAAGATCTATCTAGAAAAATGTTATGGCTGACATCAGAGACCTTACTACCTGTGCTCCCTTGTAGGGTTTTTGTGGTTTCAATTCTCACATTGAGGTCTTGAGTCAATTGAGTTTATTTTTCTATATGGTGAAAGTGGTCCAGTTTCATTTTATTTACATATGGCTGTCCAGTTTTCCCAATACCATGTTACTAGACGATCTTTTTCCCATTGCAAAGATTAATTAACTTATAATCATGGATTTGTTTCTGTGTTTTCTATTCTGTTGATCTATAGGTCTATTTTTGTGCTGGTACCAAGCTGCTTTGTTTACTACAGTATATATTATATACAGTGTGTGTATATACAGTATGTATATTTGTCATAATTTGAAAACTGGGATTTTGATACATCCAGATTTTTCTTTTTCAAGATTGCGTTAGCTATTTGGGGTCTTCTGTGATTACCTATACATCTTGTGTAGGATTGTTCTAGCTCTGTGAAAAATGCTGTAGATATTTTGATAGGGATTGCATTAAATGATTGCTTTGGATACTATGGATATCTTAATCTCCCAATCCATGCACATGGAATATCTTTCATCTTCCATTTTTTTCCATCTTCCATTTTTTTCCATCAGTGTTGATACTTTTCAGAGCACAGGTTTTTAAACTCTTTGGTTAAGTTCATTCATATTTTGTTTGGTACAATTGTCAATGGGATTTTCTTTTTTGTCACTTCATTATTAGTATATAGAAATTCTATGTATTTCTCTATACTGACTTTTGTGTCCTGTGACTTTACTGAATTCATTTATCCATTCTAGTTTTTGGAGTTTTTAAGGGTTTTCTCTATATAGTATCATGTCATTTGCAAATAGTGAGTTTTAGTTCTTTCTTACCAATTTGGATGCCTTTTATTTAATTATTTTTTCTGTTTTATTTCTGAGAGTGAGACAGTGTGAGCAGGGGAGGGTCAGAAAGGGAGACACAGAATCTACAACAGCTCTAGGCTCTGAGCGGTCAGCACAGAACCTGATGCGGGGCTCGAACCCATGAACCATGAGGTCATGACCTGAGCCGAAGTCGGATGCTTAACCGACTGAGCCACCCAGGCGCCCCATGTTTGCCTTTTATTTCTTTATGCTGTCTGATTGCTGTGCCTAGGACTTCCAATACTATGCTGAATGTAAGTGGTGATAGTGGACATCCTTGTCTTGTTTCTGACTTTTAGGGGGAAAAACTGTTTTCCCCATTGACCAGGATGTTAGCAGTGGGTTTTTCATAGATGGCTTTTATAATGTTGAGGTATGTTCCTTCTAACCCTTCTTTGCTTGAGGGTTTTTACCATGAATGGATGTTGTGCTTTGTTGAATGTTTTTTCTACATCTATTATGGTCATATGGTTTTTGTTCTTTCTCTTAATTGATGTATCATGCTGATTTGTGAATATTGAACCACTCTTGTATCTCAGGAATAAATCTAACTTGATCAGGGTGAATAACTTTTTTAACATATCCTTGGATTCTGTTGGCTAACATTTTGAAGGTGTGTGTGTGTGTGTGTGTGTGTGTGTGTGTGTGTGTGTCGGTCGATGTTCATCAGTACTACTGGCCTGTAGTTCACCCTTTTGTTGTTAATCATTCTCTGGTTTTGGTATCAGGGTAATGTTGACCTCATAAAATGAATTACGGAAGTTTTCCTTCCTCTTCTAATTATTGGAATAGTTTGAGGAAAAATAGATATTAACTATTCCTTAAATGTTCAGTAGATTCCCCTGTGAAG